AAGGAAGGAAGGAAGGAAGGAAGGAAGGAAGGAAGGTCCTAAAAGGATTCTTGCAGGAAAGAAGTAGAATTCAAAACTCACATAAATCAGCCAAGCAATAGGAAGGCAAAGAACACAACCTTGATGAAACTCCTTCTCCACCACCTATCAGGTCAAAATCCCTCCTACCAAAGGATTAATTTCTACCTGTGCTGAAGTGATGCTTACCTTGGTGTCAAACAAAATCTTCCAGAGCAAAGATTCAATGTAATAATTTGTTCCACCGACCACAATTGGGACCTTCTGGGAGTCAAGAATCTCATCAATGTGAGTAGTTGAGGAACATGCGGAAAAGCTGTGAAGCTCAGCCTCACTTAAAAAAAAATCCTAACAATATATTTCACATATAGAGCCTGACATCTTTAAAATAATACATTTTGGAAGTCATTTTTAATCTTTATTTTCTGTATTTTCCCCCTTCTTTCCAATTAGCATTTTATGAAATGCTGATGCACCACCAGCATTAGAAAGGTTTGGATTCTCCAGGACACAATTTACATTTGTTACTTCCCTCAGTCACAAACAAGCTTCTTCCTTTATTTCTTTTCTAGTTCTCCTAACAACCAGAAGCATCTCCATCTTCCCCTCCCCATCCCGCTTTCCCAAATTTGGATATAATGTGGTTTTTAAGCCCATGGTCATGGTTCTCTCCCACAGCATTGATCCCATCTAAGTCCCAACAGAGCCTCTAGGAAAGGATATGATGGCAGTGGCCTTTTTCTGAAAGTCCAGTACAGTGTAATTGGTGACCAAGGGGTCCACAAAGCTGATCATGTGATGCTTGCACAGCTTCTGCTCCTGGGCAGAAACTTTGTTGGTGATGATGTCCAGGCCCTGATATACCTGAGACAGGGAGGGACAGACAGATGGAGCATGAAATTCAGCCAGTGCTAGTCTTCATGGTGGTGGCCAGCCTACATCTCAGCTGGCTCACCACTTCACGCTGCAACCAAAGGGTCCCTCTGAAAGCACTGCTGAAGACAAGTTTGTCACCCCCACCCTTAGAATGTGCATGCCTGGTTCAGAACTGCTTGAATAAGGCACTGTGCAAAGCAGGTGTGTGTCTGCATGCATCAACATGTCCTAATGACCTAGTGCACCAATGAAACACAGTTCACTCAGAGCACTCTGCTTCACCAGGGTATCATGCAATCTCCCTCTTTCTGGCCATATTCAAGTACCATCTTCCTAAGCAGAGGTCAGCACCACTCCCTGTGGGGCGGGGTGGAGCTGTGTTCCTTCTCTTGCTGGGAAGAAGGAGTCTGTAGAGCCTGAAGCTGCAAGCAAACTCACTGACATCCACTGGTTTAAGAACCATCTCTAGAGACACACTCGGTGTCTTGGCACATATACCTAAGACCTGCTTACTTTGTCCAGAGAACAGTTAGGCTTTAGATGTACCCATAGAACATTTGAAATACACAAAGATAGGAACGCTAAGCATGTATTGACTGCTTTTTGCTCATCACCAAGGAGCCACAACTGAATAGCACACATCTGAGCAAGGACAGACGATGTGTGTTCCATCACCTCCTAGACTCATCTTCTGGGCGACCAGTCATGAGACTGCAAGGACCAAAACAGCCACTTTTGCTTTCAGGATTGCTCTATATTTTCTTTGGCACATAATATTAAGGATGAACCTGCACCTCTAAAGATGCAAAATAATTCTCAGTTCAAATCTGGAATTTGATACTGAATGCCAGGAGACGGTGAGAATCAGTACAGACTGGTCTGGGTTTTGCACGATCTTGTTCCTAATTGGCAGCTTCCAAGTTCAGAGATCCCAGCTGGCAGTACAACTAGACAACCTCGCCCTGGATGCAGCCTCAGCAGAAGAAAGCTCTCAAGCAAAGCTCCCCCATCAGCTGGAGGCACCAAGGTGCCTTTGCCTCAGCAGAATCTGTCCTGCCTCCAAGGAAGCAATCCAGGAGGCAAGAGTTGAGGACAGCCATGGCTGGGATGAAAGCACTATTCCTCTAGCTGGCTCAGATAATAGGATTAAAATAAGGTAAGAATAAACAAATGAAAAACAATGATATCCAGAGGCAGAGTGGGAAAAAGAACAAAGCAAAACCTAGCCACAATCATATAATATAAATCCAAACCCGGGAAGTGTGTGCTATCCTTTCTCCTGGACCTCTTGGAAGACCCCATCTTTAAAGATGTGCAAGATTCCTACAGGGCAGGGCCCACATGAATTTCTAGGGGAATGCTCTTTTGTAGGGCACAGAAAAGCCCAGTCTTCCTAGTCCCACAAGATGTTGTTGCTTGCTCGATGGAACCTGGAATGAGCCAGCTCTCCCAGGACTTACTGGTCAGGCAGGAACAGCAAGAGAAAAGTGACCCTATAGGTCTCCAGGTCCTAACCCACCTTCTGCTTAGTGGGAGGGCTCAAGACAGTGATCAATCAATAAAAAGTGGAATAAAAAAAAGATTCAAAGAACAGATGAAAGCCCATACAGACATCGTTAGCAATTAAAACTCTGATGAGAGAAGCATCTTGGCTGCTCTACTAAAGGAAGAGAGAGTCAGGGCCAAAGGCAACCCTGGGGGCTGCAGCCCACGCCCTGGGAAGAGCACAGGAGGTGCCCCCTCCCAGCAGCCAGGGCCATCTCAAGAGTCTCTCCTGCAGATCTTAACTTCATAACAGGAAAGAATCATTGATGCCAAATTCAGTTGGCTCAGGAATGGCTGCAGTTAGTACACTAGGCAGAATTGGGCAACTGCAGTCTTTTACTGTAAATCCAGTGACAGCAGAGGATCAAGGGGGGATCCCCACACCTGCTTTTTCTGGGGGATACAACCCCATCCAACTGGACCAAGCCTCAGCCCCTGGGTCCAGTCTCCTATTTGTTAACAGCACTTCTATGTTGCACAGACTTTGTTTTAGTTCTCTCTCGGGCCATGATCAAACTTAGCAACATTCCACTTAAGGCACTGATGGCTCCCCTGGAACTGGGGGGCCCAAGAGCAACACAGCATTGGCATCCTGATCGTTCCCCCTCCAACGCTGCAGATCACATCCCCTAGCAGCTCCATGAAGATGCTGAACACCTGAGAGGCAAGATGGAGCCCTGTGGGGCAGACCTCCCAGTGAAGTGACATCACAGATCACCCACCAAGGCTACTGAACAGTCTCAGGTCCATACCCTGCCTGTCAGCTCAACCAAACTGGACCCAGATCACAAGCATCATCTAGATCAGCGTTTCTCAACCGTGGCAACTTGAAGGTGAGTGGACTTCAACTCCCAGAATTCCCCAGCCAGCGGGAGTTGAAGTCCATACATCTTCAAGTTGCCAAGGCTGAGAAACACTGATCTAGATGGCGTTTCTATCGGCGAGAGAAAAATGCCCAAATCTAAGGAACGGATCCTTCTCTGGGCCCCTCGTTCTTAGACTAAACAGATGTGGCATCCAGGCACCGCCATCCTGGGGGTGGGAGGAAGAGGTGACAATGTGCTCCGGGCTGAGAGAAGGGCCTTGTCCGCGCTGGTCACGCTGGCTGGCTGGAGTCTAGTTCAACAGGTCTGAGGGGCTCCCAGTGGGAGAAGCTCCTGCCCGTCGGCCCCTCCTTAGGAGCAGGGCAAGCCTGGAATGGGAATCCCGTTCTGGCTGCAGGTCAGGCCAGACGAGAAACGGCGGGGGGCCCTCGTCCGAAAGGCCGCTGCTCCGCGGGGCCTCGTGCTCCCACGCAGCGCGGGCGCTTCCTTCCAGGTGCAAAGGAGCCCGGCAAGGAGAAGCCAGTTCCCCAGAGCGCCCATTACGTTAGGGGCGGAACGTTTTCATTGATGGCAGCACCATTTCATGCCACCCCTTCTTTTCAAAAAGCCGGATCCCAACCAGTGCAGAAAGCCACGAAGACTAAAGCAGTGTTTAAGTGCGCTGAAGGAAGGTACGCGATTGAAAACGATGAAAGCCAGCCAAGCCAGCGGGCAGAGCTCATCGGGGCAGCCGCCAGCATCCAGGCCCGCGGGCCGGCCGAAGGCTTCCCGGGCGGGGGGCGCCGAAAGGCCCCC